TATTTTAATCCTCACCTGAGGACATGTTTTTTTTTTAATTGATTTGAGAGAGAGAGAGAGAGACATCCATGTGAGAGAAAAACATTGATTGGTTGTCTCCCACACGCATCCAGACTGGGATCCAACCCACAACCTAGGTATGTGTCCTGACCGGGAACTGAACCTACAACTTTTTAGTGTATAGCATGATGCTCCAACCAAATGGATCACCTGGCCAGGCCTAAGAAATATTTGAAAAAGTGGTTCTTTAAATTTCCTTATTAAATTCTGGAGATTTTTGAGTATATACATTATAAATTATATATGGTTGAAGCTGTTGTATTTTCTATCACTGGAATTATTTTAATATTCCTTATTGAATAAATGTTGTAATTTGTTTGCTATAAAACTTATTCTTGAATGCAAACTTATTTTTTCACATTCATGAAAATATGAATTAGAGGACTTAATCTCATTGAAATTGCTTTTTTTTTTTTTACTCATATGTTTATATAGAAGAATGCCTGCTAATTTAGAATTTGTAATGGTTTCCTTCAGTTATATTTTAAATCAGAAGGTCTGGGTAATGTATCAATTTTGATTAGTATGTTTTTTAAAAAACCAAAACCAAAAAAATAACGTAATAGTAGAAATGTGCCACACCTAAGTTTTGTATAGCGTGACTTTTAATTTGTTGAATATTACTTGCATGAGGTACTTAATATATGATTATACTGAAATTTCTGAGTGCACAGGGTATTTTTTGTCTGAAAATAGTCTTGGTTTTGTCAGTCTTTCAGAATATTAGTATTTGTTCTCATAATTGACCCTCTTACCCATGGCAGTTGATCTTCTGGGATACATTATTGGGGGAAAGGGGTCCTGCTAGTTGTCCAGATTGAGTTTGTTCTGTTTAAGGAGGACTTCCATCCCGCATCCCTTTTTCTAATTGGGGGACCAAAGGTGCTGCTAAAGAAATGTTGAAGAGTCCTTCCAACATTTTCTCATCTGTGAAGATGAAATCTTAAAATATATTTGGAGTTTTATCTATTTTATAACTACATTGATGGCTTTAGTTTCTTCTGTCTCCTCCCCTTTGAGCTCTAAGGGATTCCTTTTGGTAAATATGAAGAATGTGGAACATTTATATGGCCTCTGTAAAATATTGGTAAATATGAAGAATATGGAACATTCATATGGCCTCTTTCTTGTGGGCTTTATGCTCATTTTTTGGAAACATTAATGTAATATTCAACTTTCAAAGAATTATGTTTAATTTTAAGACAACTAAGTTAAATAGAAGACATTGAAGAATGCATTAACTTGCAGGAAATATTTTGATATGTGAAGTTTCTCAATTGAAGGAATTATTAGTAAATAAGAACTAAGAAATGTCATTGAAATAATAAGGCAGTTTAAAAATAAATTGGTAAAAATAACTGTATTATCAAATAGAGAATTATTCAACCAAGAGGAGAGTCAAATGAATATTATTTATTGATTAGTAAGTTTATTTGTAATCTTGATTATGTTAAAAGATAGCTTTGTTAGTATGTTCTGTATTAATAAAAATGAACAAAATTAATTTGGCTATGTTCATGTGTCTTCCTAAAATGACAATGCCCTGGGGTTGTTGCTGATGTTTAGCACTAAATTTTTCGCTCAGGGTCAATGAGCTCAAGTTTTAGCATTTCTATGCCTAGATTTAATTGCAGTATGGATATCTATAATAATAAAAGCGTAATATGCTAATTAGACCAGACGTCCTTCCGGACAAAGCTGGGGCTGCGAGGGAAGCCCGGGTCCCGGGTGCCAGAAGGAAGCCAGTGCGGGCAGCCGGGGGAAGAAAGACCTACTCTTGATGAATTTCGTGCATCAGGCCTCTAGTATAGTATATTAATCACTGACAGCATCAACTCAGTATTATCCGTATTATTGAGTAATGTGTTCTTACCAGGAAGTGGTCAAATTGTCACCTGAGTTATAGGCAGACAGGCTAAACTTCATATTCACAGGAAATGTCTAGTAAATAGAAAATGAAAATGTGGGATAGAGGCAAAGATGATGAAAATAATGAAGTGAGGGGGGCACACAGGAAATGAAAAGCCAGACTAGGAAAGAGGAACAGCTGAGAGGTAGGGTTAATGAATGTTGTCCAGTCTGTTCACCACCTATCTTTATGGAAACACTGCCTTAGAATTACAGTATAGTCCTTTGTTGGTTAAGTCGCAAAGTTTTGTTCTTTGTGAACATGGTTACTTTGAGGGGAAGGACAGGGTGAGGAAGTGCTTTCTCAAGAAGAAAGCACTTTTTAAAAAATATATTTTATTGATTTTTTACAGAGAGGAAGGGAGAGAGATAGAGAGTTAGAAACATCGATGAGAGAGAAACATCAATCAGCTGCCTCCTGCACACCCCCCACCGGGGATGTGCCCGCAACCCAGGTACATGCCCTTGACCGGAACCGAACCCGGGTCCCTTCGGTCCGCAGGCCGACGCTCTATCCACTGAGCCAAACCGGTCTTGGCATCAAGAAGAATTTTGATGCATAAATGTAGAGTTTGGATGATCTAGTAAAGTGTTTTAGAGCTACTCTTTTTAGCTCATGCCCCATTCAATAAATATAAAAATCACATTTCCCCTGATGTCATTTGAAATTTCAAAATAAATCATACCATGGTAACCTTATTTGCTTTTATATATCTGTAAAATTTATCAAAGTAACATACACAATTTAAAAAATCTAAAGATCTTATGATGAAAAGCAGTAGTCCCAACTTACTTTACCTTCCAGAGACAATCATTTTGACTCCAAAAGTTTATTTGGGTTTTTATCTTAGTGTATCTAAATAATATGCCTATTCTACTGTTGCTTGATTTAACACTTTTAGACATTACCTTGATGTTACCAGATAATTAAGCTCTCTAACACACTTTCTCCCCTTCTCCCATTATAAAGTTATGCCATAAAATTTACTAAATGCATTCGCTACTGTTTAATTATACTGTAGTGCAAAGCAGTGCACCATGATTACATTTTGTATAATTTTATTTCTTCTGGACTTAATCCTCTCGTTTTTAACACAAGTTTCTGGAAATGTCTTAATTTTTTTTCTAACTTCTCAGTCAGTTTTACTAGGTTTCCATCACTGGAGAGGTCTATTCTGCATTTATCTTCTGTGCCAATCTGTACTGTGCTTCCCTCCCTCCCTCCCTCCCTCCCTCCCTTCCTTCCCTTCCTTTCCTTCCTTTCCTTCCTTTCATTTTCTTTTTCTTCCTTTTCTTTCACCAATCCTCATCTGAGGATATTTTTCCATTGATTGTTAGGGAGAGTGGAAGGGAGGGGGAGAAGACACAGAGAGAAAAACATCAATGTGAGAGAGACATCGATTTGTTGCCTCCTGCATGTGCCCCAGCTGGGGATCAAGCCTGCAACTGAGGTATGTGCCCTTGACTGGAATAGAACCCATGACCCTTTAGTCAATGGGCCAAAACTCCATTCACTGAGCCATACTGGCTAGGGCTGTACTGGTTGTTTTCTTGTCTGGCCTCAGAGCCATTATCCCTTGACCTCCTTTGGTCACCCTCCTGTGTTGGATGTGCTGTTTCCTAGTTTACTTTCTTGTTTACTGGAGCACTTCCTACAACATTTAAATATTCCTAAGAAGTGGTATATGAGAGGCAAATGTCCTGAGTCCTTACATGTCTAAAATGTTCTTATTTCACTCTCACATTTCATTGGTAGTCTGACTACATATACAATTTTAAGTTAAAAATAATTTTTCCTCAGAGTTTTGAAGACATTGCTCCACTCTCTTCTAGCTTTTATTATTGTTTTTGAGAAATTTGATTTTATCCTGGTCAGATATTAGACTTCTTTCACTGATGGTTAATTTTCTTCTCTTTTTCTCCAGTTGCTTTTTTTTTTCCTCTAGTTGTTTTGACACTGTTGTCTCTGCTCTTTCTAGAAGATGTCTTCACTGTGATCTTCCAACATGATCTTCCCGTTGAGTTTTTATAGATATATATATTTAAAAATTGTTAAGACTCCCTTTATTTTTATTGTTTCTAAAATATTTTTTAATGTTCATTCTGGAAAGCATACTAATATTTTTTTGAGGACATGTATGGAAGCATATATACAGCGGTGGACAAAAGTAGGTTTATAGTTGTGAGTACACAAAACAGTTTATTCTTGTTTTATTATATTATTTGTATTACAACTGTAAACCTACTTTTGCCCACCCCTGTAATTTTGCTTTTCATACTATTTACACTGATTTTTTGTTGTTGCTATTTTTAATTTTAGTTTTCTTTTGTTCACATAGGTGACTTTCCTTGTATATGGCTAGCTTCAACAATCTGTCATGTAAATGGACCTCAAAGAATAATTGAAAGCTCTCTTTGTGGGCAGTGCTTGACTGGTGATAGGCTTCACTTGCACAGTGCAACTCAAAAATGCCATTCAGTGAATTATTTGTTCTCTTCATGATAAAAAGCTTAATGACAAGTAGTAAATAGCTGGCAGGTCAACAGTTGTAGGTGGACTGAATTTTGAGAAAGACTGCATTAGGAATTGTTGTCAGGGACTGTTCAGTTCCTCTAGGGAAGAATTCCCTGATTGGCACAAAGAAGTGGTTGAAGGAGGGTCTGTTTATTCCTGCTTTAACTCTGTCTCTGCCTTGTCCTCCACCTCACTTTCTGTTTTCCACTTAATACATATTTCTCTACACCTGTCTGTCCCTCAGCATACTTCTTTCATCTAGTAGTCTCCCATTACTCCTGATAAAAGTTCTCTTGTCTTCACTCAGTTGGTGTTTCTCATTGGTTGAGCATTGAACCATGAAAGGTCAGGGTTCAATTTGGGTCAGGCTACATGCCCAGGTTGCGGGCTCAATCCCCAGAAGTGGGTGAGGGAGGCAGCAGGTAGATAATTCTCTCATCATTGATCTTCCTATCTCTCCCTCTCTCATCATTGATCTTCCTATCTCTCCCTATCCCTTCCTCTCTCTGAAATCAATAAAAAAAAGTTCTCTTGTCTTCAACCTGTGAGAAACAGTGTTGGGGGCGAGAGATTGTATTTGGTTGAGAGAGGTAGGGCAGAGGCTGTATAATTTTCAACTAGCCATTTTTAGGCCTGTCCCTTGGCTCTGCTCTTTGCCATAACTTTTACCTCCAAGTCAGCTTCTCAATGATCATGGGACCAATCAGCATGCTTCTCACTGATATCCCCTTGCAGTCCCTTCAGATCATTGCAGCTGCTTCTGTCCTCCTCAGTCTATCGCAACTGCTTTCTGTTTCCAGAAATCTGTTGAAATCCTATTTCTGTTTCTGTCTCCTCTCTACTTTCATTCCTTTTGGGCTCATATCTTTTTTAAAGGATGGGTTTTAGATTATCATACAGTCAACTTACTTTTTTTCTTTCAGTTCTGTGAGTTATAACTCATGTCTAAATTTTTGTAACCTTCATAGGATACTGAGCAGTACCATCAACCCCCCCCCCCCAAATTCCCTTATACTGTTCCTTTTTGTCACACTTAATCTCGCTGATAACCCCAGGCAACCACTGACCTCGTTTCCATCCCCACAGTTTTTCTTCTAGAATGCTATAAATGGAATCATACCATATGTAACCTTTGAAACTGGCTTCTTTCACTCAGCATAATGCCTTTTAGATTCATCTAAAGGTCTATCAATACCTCATAACCTTTCAATTTCTTTTCTTTCATTTTACTAGAGTGAGAGAGAGAAAAGACTCTTAGGGCCAGTTCACTATCAAACCAGAAACACCTTGAAGCACCTTGTGATTTTATAACATTTTATAATCTTTTTTCTCAGACTTACTTAAAAATTTTTATTGAATTTATTGGGTTGATATTTATTAATAAAATTATATTGGTTTCAAATATACAACATTTTATAACATTTTTTTTTAAAACTTAATGGTTTTATGCATTTTAAGTGACATTAATGGGAACTTGTCTGTTTGCCACAAGCTTTTCTATCCAGGGTAATGTGGAAGAAGACTGAACTCATCATACATCACTTTAAAATGTCAAGACTGGTATGCCACTTTGTTTCAAGGACCAGAAATGCAGAAGAAATAGCTTAACAAATATATGCAAATTTTGCAGTTGAATCAGTGGTCTAAAACAATCTCTGGAGTGTGTTGTCTTTCCTTTCACAGCAAGACTTGTAAAAGAGTGGTTTATATTTTGTCATTGTCAACTTCAGCCAGGCTTTAATCCCATGATTGTATTCTGCTCTGGTCACTGTCAACTGTGTCTAAAACAGCAGTTCTCAACCTGTGGGTCGCGACCCCTTTGGGGGTCGAACGACCCTTTCATAGGGGTCACCTAAGGCCATCGGAAAACACATAATTACATATTGTTTTTGTGATTAATCACTATGCTTTAATTATGTTCAATTTGTAACAGTGAAATTGGGGGTCACCACAACATGAACTGTATTAAAGGGTCGCGGCATTAGGAAGGTTGAGAACCACTGGAAAGGATTATGTAGGAAGAGTATGGGTTTCAGAAGCAGGTTGATCTGGCTCATATATATGTATAAACTGTATCTTCAGATCATTTAATCTCCTAAACCATTTACTATTTACTTTTCAGTAAAATGGGGATTTTAATACCTACTTGACAGATTTTGTTTTGAGGAATAAGGGAAGTGATAGATGGCAAGCACTTAGCACAAAGTATAGAAAAATGGCACTCGTGAACAATTTCCACTTCTTGTCGAATCAAATGAATTCACCCTTATCTTGAACTTTGTGCCTCATTTGATAGTTTGGGATTTTCCTTCCCTCTTCATCCTTAGCATGTGGCGTCTGTGAATAACTCTCCTGATTTTCTTCCTACTTATTTGCTCCCTAGTCTTTATATATTCCTCGGTTATGCTCACCATATAAAATGTTGGGGATTCTTTGAAATTTTGTTCTGGGCCCTCTTCTCACTTTACAAACACTCCCTGAGCAGTCTTAAATTCTCATCACTTCTTCCATCTTCACACTTACTTCATTATCTATTCTTGTGTCTTGATATCCCTCCTGAGCTCTAGGTCTTGTCTTGGATTGTCCTTGGATTTCTCAAATGTAATAAGGCCCAAACAGGAATCTCATACTAGCCTGGGGTTTCTCTTAATATCCCTCAATATAGTGAATGGTATGACCAACCACCTTATGCGTTAAGCCAGGAATCTTGCTTTCCTCTCCAACTTCCCAACCCAATAAATCACTACATTCTGTTGATTTTTAAAGGTACTTGTTATAGCTGGCTCTTTAATCCATCTTTTTATATCTCTTTGCTGCTGACTCATTTCAGGTTTTCTTTCTTCCTTGGATTACTATAATAGCCTTCTCATGGACTCTGTTCCTAGTAACTCATGTCCAATCCAGCCTTTCACAACTACCAGAATGATCTTGAAACAATTCTGATCTTGACAGTTTGCTATTTAAACTGCACCCTCAAAATAAGATTAAATATCATTGCTAAAATCTCACTCCTGCCTACCACTGTTGCCTCACACTCCAGGTGTTCTGCCAGCCAAACGATTTACAATTCCCCAAGCCATCTGTTCACCCTTTCTTCTTTGCCTCTGCATAAGCTATATCTTCTGCTTAGATTTCTCCTTACCCAAATTTTCCTCCCATGATAATAGCTAATATTTATTGAATTATATCATTTAATTTTCACAGCCACCCAATGATAGCTACTATCACCTTCATTTCACAGAAACAGGTATAGATTATGAAACTATCATATCATTATTAGCCGACAGATTCAGGATCTGACTTCCAAGTTCTTAACTACAATAATATTTTTTCTCTTTTCATTCCATTTAGGCCTCTGTTTCACAGTTTCTGCAGTAGATCATGCTTGATTCTGAATCCAGGTTATTAATCATGATTTTGCCCTGTCTGGAATACCTTTTAATCCCTACGCCATTCATTCTAATTTTACTGGACCCTGCTAAAATCCAGTTTTTTTCAAAACCTTCCCAATAACCATTACCTTTCTTAAATTTCCCATAGTAACTTTTACTATAGCAGTTACCAGAGAGTCATTTATGGCTGCAGAATAACTTACTACTATGTGTATATTATATTCCTAGTGAGAGTATATGCTCCAGAAGGTCAGAGATTCAACGTTTTCTTCTGAGCAAATTGGAAAATGTTACATTCATAGTAGGTCCTTAATAAGTTATTGTTCAACAAGGAGTGAACTTACGGTCATACTAGAGGCCCAATGCACAAAATTGGAGCACTGGGCAGGGGGCGGGGGGGCGGTCCCCTCAGCCTGGCCTGCGCCCTCTTGCAGTCTGGGACCCTTCAGGGGATATCCGCCTGCAGGCCTAAGCCAGCAGTCAGAAATCCCTCTTGCAGTCCGGGACCCCTTGCTCCTTACTGCCCACCTGCTCGCTGCTCTTTACCGCTCAGCTCACTGCTCCTTATCACTGTGGTGGAGGCGGGAGAGGCTTCCACCACCGCCACTGTGCTTGCTAGCTGTGAGCCCAACTTCTGGCTGAGCAGCGCTCCCCCAGTGGGAGTGCACTGACCACCAGGGGGCAGCTCCTGCGTTCACCATCTGCCCCCTAGTGGTCAGTGCGCATCATAGCGACTGGTTGTTCCACCGGTCATTTGATTTGCATATTAAGGTTTATTATAAAGGATGTTTTAAAGTATTTTTCATATATAAGGATTTTAGAGCCAGAGATAAAGATTAGTACAACCCCTTTAATGATGAAAAGATAAGGCTTGCAATTAGACAAATTATTTAATGGTAAAATAATATAGCAGTTAATTGACAACCAAATGTTTCCTGATTCCTAACTATATCATAATTAAAATAGGGAGTTATATTGAAATGCTACCTTTTATCTAACTAGTAGGTTTTTCTTGTTTTAATCCTCAGCAGAGGACACACTTTTATTGATTTTAGAGAGGGAGGAAAAGAGAGAGAAACATCAATGTGAGATCGATTGGCTGTTTCCTGTACTCACTCTGACCAGGGATTGAACCCAAAACCTAGGTATGTGGCCTGACCGGGAATCAAACCTGGTATATGGGACAACACTCCAACCAACTAAACCATCCGGCCAGGGCTAACTAGTTTTGATACATTAAAGTTCACATGTTGTTCTATATTGTTTTTATAAAACTGGATGTGGATTAAGCATGGTTCAGAAAAAAAAATACACATTGCATTCCCATAAAACTATTCAGGCATTTGTCTTTTTGTTTGTAGATGTTATAGGCAGGATCAAAGTAAGGGTTTGACTTTTTTTTTTTAGAAAGGTTGAGTCCCTTTGTGATTTGGTAATTTCCATCAGTTAATTGTGAAATATTTTCACTTAGTAATTTTACATCTGATGCCCACAAATTTATCTTGCTGACAACACCTAAAGTAATCATTACCTACCACATATCTAAATGTACTGCCAGTTCTGTTTTAATGTTCAAGAACCCTCTGGAGCAGTGGTTCTCAACCTTCCTAATGCGGCGACCCTTTAATACAGTTCCTCATGTTGTGGTGACCCCCCACTATAAAATTATTTTCGTTGCTACTTCATAACTGTAATTTTGCTACTGTTATGAATCGTAATGTAAATATCTGATATGCGGGATGTATTTTCATTGTTCGCGACCCACAGGTTGAGAACCACTGCGGAGGAAATAGTTTTCAAAAGAAGAGCAATGTCTAATAATTTTTCCAGTATTACAAAAGAACCTATGTTTTGGAAAGGAACCTATTTTGAAAATAACTTTTGCTTCAGAGGATGTTTACAAATCTGATAACAAATTTCAGGTGTGCCTGGGAAGATCCAGTAAAGTTTAATAGGTACCCAGGCACATTCAGCCATGTTTTTTGTCAGTGTAATCACAATTTACAGAGCAAGAGCAAGGAGACAATGAGTGAGGAACCCTGGGACTTAAAAATGTTTGAAAGGAGTACAATGAGTATTAAGAAAGATTTTTTTGAATTTTCATATTCAATATATTCTTTTGTACAGCATACTATTTATTTAACCAATATTATGTGCCAGTTACTTAGTGTAGGTGCTGGGGATACATCAATGACCAAAATAAAATAGTTTTAAGCAGAGTCATTATCTAATAAGTTCTTAAAAGGATTACTGCTGTGTGGAATATAAACTGAGTGGAAGAGCGGAAAGGAGGGAAACCAGTTTAAAAAGGCTTTTACGGGAATGCAGGCAAGAGATGATGATGGGTTGGCTTGGAGTGGCAAGATGAGAAGTGGTCAGACTCAGATTATATTTTGAAGGTGCAGCCAATACCTTGGGGCTTGAAGGAAATTTCAGAGGAGAGCACTTGGAAATGAATGGAAAGAAGAATTCCATTTTGGTTGTAATTTTGCGATGCCCATTAGACATCTAAGTGGAAATGTCTGGAGTTAAAGGGAAAGGTCAGGGTAGAGAGTTGTCAGCACACATGGTGTTTTGTGGCACCAGATGGAATCCCAAAAGGGATTAATGTTTTTTAAAAAGCTGGTATTCTCAAATTTAGAGATTTCGAGGATGAAGAAACTAGAAGTAGCAGCTGCTGAAATAGGAGGACAGAAATTGTATATGGAAGGCTCATTAAGAAAATATTTCAAACTGTAGTATACATGTTATAGTGTATTTATGGCTTATTTCCAAATAAAAAATTGGAAATATACATTGAGGGAGTGATCAAGTATGTTAAATGTTATTCATAGATGGTAGATGAAAATTGAGGTTGGTGATCCTAACAAGAGCAGTAAAAGCCTGCCCCAAATGAAAAAAAAAAAAAATTAGAAGAGGAAGGAAAGACAAGTATAAAGAAATCTGTTTTATTTTTAAGAGAAATGGGATGGTAACTGAAATCAAAGGAGGTTTATTTGTTTAATTTGGGAATGTGAGTGAATGATCCAGTAAAGAGGGGAAAATTATACTGTACTAAGTGACATGCAAATAAGGATCAGCATCTATTTTATGTGAATCTTTAGTTCTTTTTGGACAGAGCCGTAAGTGTCCTGGATCTATCACCCAATATATATCAGTTTACCCTCTTTAAGCAATCATAGGGGATTGGTAAGAAATTTACATAATCTCTTCTGAGAAGTTTACAGTCTAGTTCGCTAAGTGAAGAAATCATAAGAAAGCACATACAAGTTTAACAAATTATAGACAATCCACTTTTAAACATCTGTATGCTCCAGCTATTGGCACCTGTAACTGTCCTCCAAGATTTGTTTACACTATGTAATGCAGAGGGGGGAAGAAACCCCGTCCTTTAGTCCTAATCTAGGGAAGAGATGACTTGGATTATTTATAAATCTTAGTGGAGAGAACTTGAACTGGGGACAGGTAACTTGGTGGGTCTAACACTAAAGATCAGAATAATTTTAGTATTATTGTTTGTCTACACATTGCACCTATGCTGAACACATATGTTACCAGCTTCCTATTTGTATTGACAATGGGTTAATTAGAACTGAGTTTGTAAAAAGGTGAAAAGTCTATTGTAGTATAGGGTAGATAGTTTTACATTTACTAGTGCATACACTTGGGAGTGGGCACAAAGAATAAAGACGCTTGCAATGTAGCATTATATAAGCAAGATCGATGCAGGACACACTGACAACTTACCTGTTCAATAATTTCTTTGGCTAACAAACTTCAGTTATGGAAAGTGCCCTGTTGGACCTAAGACAGCAAGACTTAAGTTCAGATTTGCCATCCCATTCCTTGTCCCCCATTAAAAAATTCCCCCTCTTGCCCTAACCGTTTGGCTCAGTGGATAGAGCATCAGCCTGCGGACTCAAGGGTCCCGGGTTCGATTTCGGTCAAGGGCAAAACCTTGGTTGCGGGCCACATCCCGGGTAGGGGGTGTGCAGGAGGCAGCTGATAGATGCTTCTCTCTCATTGATGTTTCTAACCCTCTACCTTCCTCTCTGTAAAAAATATCAATAAAATATATATTTTTTAAAAAATCCCCCTCTTTGCAGCGTTTTCCCAGGCACAGAGAAATGAGAGAACAGCTGCCACAATCCTGGGACACTGTGGAAGAGCTTTTTTGCATGGGGGATTCTGCAGTATCCAGAGGTACAAGAAGATAAAAATGGGTATCCCAACGCAGGTCTTCACAGCATGCTCTCAGCACAAGGAACAATAACGCCCTCATAGCAGTTTCTTCGATGGAGAAAACTACCCGTGTAAGAGGAGTTATCCTTTTTGTTCCCAAATTCATCCATCTTCACAGCTTATAGTTCGGCCAACCCAGTGCTCATTCCGCCTCTAAATGGGCTCAAAGGTTGCTCAAAGGTTTACGCCTTCTCGTTCAAACTACACACACTGACTTTCTAGGATAGCGTGGTCTCACAATAATCTTATCTAAGCGAGTTACAAGAGCGAGTAACACCCCACTGCCCGCGTCTCTGGTCTCAAAAGTCGTTTGCTTTCCCCAGCCAGCCGGAGGTGTCCGACAGGCCGGGAACGAGATGAGGGGGCCGAACGGCCAGCTGGCTAGAGCGGTCACCGTGCCGCCGCTCTCGCTGTTCTTCCGCTCTCTATGGTTAGGAGCGCCAGCCTTTCCCCCGTCCAACCGGAAATAGTTAGGACCCCTGACGTTGGCGCATGCCCAGGAGGTAGTTCCGGTTCCGGTGTGACGTTAGGCATTCCGGGCGTTTAGTAGTCGCGGTTGGTGGGCAATAACTGAGCCAACATGTTGCGGAATCTGCTGGTGAGGAGCTCTTCGGCCTGCAGTCGCGATGGGGGGCGGGAGCGTTGGGAGAGGAGGCTAAGGGACCGCGACCGACTCCCAAGTCTGTTCTGAGAGGGAAGGTGGGAGAGGAGGGCGGCTTCTTGGGTCACCTTGGTCCGCGTCCTTTCTCCTGACGTTGCTTTCCCTTCGCCCCAGTCTCTGCTGGGTGTATGTAGGGAGAGGAGAAGCTGGGAAAGTGAGCACAGGAGTGTTAGTTAGATAAGCCTTGTTGTTGTTGTTTTTCCCTCGCCGCCCCTAACTCTGAGGGACTTATGAGTTTAGTAGCTCTGATGTGAGTAACCAAGGTCCGGGGGGGAAGGTTCTCATACCCGAAGCCTCAGACAGAAAGGTGTTCCTCTGTTACTGAAAGGGTGTAGGCTTCAGAGGTTCGGAGCCCCCTGAGCATCAGATTTCGGTTAGAAAAGCAAATCGTCCGGTTTCGGGTGGGACTTGAGGAGCGGTCGTGGTGGCAGTGCCGTGTCGCTTCCTGCAGACGGTCCCGCAGTGCCCTTCAGCCCTCCACCGGCTTCGCCATGTGCAATATTTCTCCAGATTTGCGAAAAGGAAAGTGAAACAGCGATCACCTTCTTCTGTAACAATAAAAAAGGTTTTACTTAGTTTTGTAATATATTTTAGAAAGTGGAATTTCTTTCATTAATTATATAATTCAACTGGATATATAATGCAGGTCTCCTTTTTAAAAGATTTATATCTTATTAAAGATTTTTTAAGAAAAATGTGATGAGAAGCATCTTAGGAACCATGCTAGTTTATTTTGAGATCAAGTAATAGATTTTTAATATGGTAGAGTATTAAATGAAAACATTTGAGTTTTATTAGTGTATTTTGTAATCATTTTTTGTTTCTGTAATATTTATTATATCAGTATGTTTTCTTCAAGAATTACATAATACTGGTTCAACTCAGGTCAAGGTCATGTTTGTTTGCTTGTTTGTTTTTGCTCAGAATTCGCATGAATTGCTTCTTGAATGTGGTCTTTGGAGACGGCAGAATGCAGTATAAAGAGCAGAGGATGGCCAACACATTGGGAAACCTGGATGTTGGTTTATAACTTTGTTACTGACAAATTGGATAGATTTTAACCCTCACTTTCCCTCTTCTGTAATTGTACAGATGGTACATGGATGGTTTTGAAGGTCTCTGTAAGCCCTAAGTCTGTTTAATATGTCTGGATTTTTAATTTCAGGCTCTTCGTCAGATTTCCCAGAGGACCATAAGTACTGCTTCACGCAGGCAGTTTGAAAATAAAGTTCGAGAGAAACAAAAGCTATTTCAGGTACTGAAATATTTTATAAGAGATTTTTACTTAACATAATATGATTACCAAAAGGTAAAGATAGGAAGTAAATCTGGAGATGTCTAGTTATTAGTGAATCTGTTGTATTTAGCAAAAGAATAATATAAGAAATTGTCTATTGATAGCTAACTGAGCATTTGCTGTATCTAGGAGGCCCTTGAGGAAGCAGAATAAATTAGGGGGACAGGGACACTTTCTTTGGAGGAATTACATCGTGTAGTTGCACAGGAATAGGCAAATAGACGATAGGAAGGGCCCAGAATATATATTTATACATCTATATATCTATCTATATATGTGTATAGATAGATAGATGTATGAATTTAATACATGTTATATCAGTGGAAAAAGTGATATCATGGGTATTGAAAAAATTGGCTATTTTAAAGGAAGAAAAGTTACATCCCTTCTATATTGTATATTAAAAGATAAATTGCAGATATAAAAGCCTCTCAAAAAAGTTAGAAGAAAATATAGGAGATACTTCTTTTTTTCCACCAGTTTGGTTGAGATATGATTGACAAAAATTCTATATGTTTAGGTTGTACCTGATTTTTTTAAGGTATACAATCTGATGTTTAATGTATCTGATGATTACCACAATCAAGTTAATTAACACATCCATCACCTCATGTAGTTATTTTTTGGTGTGGTTGTGTAGAGCACTAAAGAAATACTATCTTAGCAAATTTCAAGTATACAATACAGTATTACTAACTACTATAATCACCATAGGAGATTATTTTATATAATTGTAGGGGTGGGAAGAAGGCTTTCGAAGGAAGCTTTAAAGGAGAAAATTGGCAAGGTTTGGTGACATAAACATTTTAAATGCATTTAGGTTACAAAAGGCAACTGACAAATTGAGAACAAATTTTAAAAATATAACAACTGTTTCAATGCAAATAAAAATTACAAGTTCATAACACCCCCCCCCCCCCCGCCCTCTACAATTATCAAATGTTTAGAAAGCTTTAAAATAGGTTATGTTAGCTAGGTGTGGGAGATAGGTACATTCAATACTACTACCTAGCATGTATTCAAACACAATACTTTGATACATGCTAGATAGTAGTATAATTAATACAACGTTTAAGAGAATATTTGAAAGTATTATTAAAAACAAATTACATACCCTGTCATCTAGGACTCCCACTTTTAAGAATCATTCCTACAGACATGGTAGCATAAATATTTACAAATAGGAAAAAGGCTATTCATTATGGAATTTTAATTTCAAAACACCCCAATAATCTAAATACCCATTAATAGAGGACTGGTTAATTCAATTATATTTTTGTACAGTGGAATGCTAGTAACTATTAAAAAGAATGAGGTCAGTTTAAATGGACTACAAGAAAATGCTTTTTAAGATATCATAAGCAAAAAATAGTATGTGGCAAATGATTATATAGCATAACCTCATTTTGTATTTTAAGCACATAGATATATAAATTAGAAGATATGACAATATAAGCATTAAAAAAAATTTTAAGGATATGCACCATATTGTTAATAGGTGTTTCTCATGAGGAGAAACTTAGTGAGATAGAGTAGTTTACCTTTGTAAGTAATCTACTTGATTTTTTGTTTTTGTTTTATTGTGATCTTTGGTTTTTTGCAAATAAAATTTTAAGTGATAAAAAGTTGGACCATCTATACTACATAAAAATAGAATAGTTACGTTTAACAAATGTATTAAATATTTACTCTATGACAGATGCTGAACTAGGCATTGAGGCTATAGATTTAGGGTTATAAACAAAAACCCCTTCCCTTTTAGAAATTATTTATTTACTTTTTTTAATAATTCTTTATTGTTGAAAGTATTACACATGTCCCCCTTTTTCCCCCATTGACCCTCTCCAGCCTGCCCCCACCCCTGCTCAGGCCCTCACCACCCCTTTGTCTGTGTCCATGGGCCATGCATATATGCAAACAAGGTCCTTGGTTGATTACCCCCACCCACCAACTGTCCCCCGCCTGCCTTTCCTCTGAGATTTCGCACTCTGTTCCATGCTTCCATGTCTCTGGATCCACTATGTTCATCAGTTTATTTTGTTGCTTAGATTCCACATATAAGTGAGATCATGTGATACTTGTCTTTCTCTGACTGACTTATTTCACTTAGCATGATACGCTCCAGGTCCCTCCATGCTGTCTCAAAGGGCAAGAGACTCCTCATTTTTACTGCTGCTTAGTATTCCATGGTATAAATGTACCACAGCTTTTTTTATCCACTCATCTACTGATGGGCACTTGGGCTGTTTCCAGATCTTAGCTATTGTAAATTGTGCTGCTATGAACATAGTGGTGCATACATTCTTTCTGATTGGTGTTTCAGGTTTCTTAGGATATATTCCTAGAAGTGGGATCCTTGGGTCAAATGGCAGTTCCATATTTATTTTTTTTGAGGAAACTCCATACTGTTTTCCATCATGGTTGCACCAGACTGCATTCCCAATAGCAGTGTTCTAGGGTTCCCTTTTCTCCACATCCTCGCCAGCACTTGTCACTTGTTGATTTGTTGATGGTAGCCATTCTGACAGGTGATACCTCATTGTCATTTTAACTTTCATCTCTGATGATCAGTGACTTTGAGCTTTTTTTCATGTCTCTTGGCCATCTGTATGTCCACTTTGGAGAAGTGTCTATTTAGGTCCATTGCCCATTTTTTAATTGGATTGTTTATCTTCCTTTTGTTAAGTTGTATGAGTTCCTTATATATTTTGGATATTAATCCTTTATCAGATGTATCCTTGCCAAATATGTTCTCCCATAGAGTGGGCTCCCTTTTCGTTTTGTTATTGGTTCCTTTTGCTGTGTAGTTTTTTATTTTGATGTAGTCCCATTTGTTTATTTTCTCCTTAGTTTCCTTTGCCCTAGGACAGTGATGGCGAACCTATGAACTCATTTTTTTTGGTTGATTTTTCTTTGTTAAATGGCATTTAAATATATAAAATAAATATCAAAAATATAAATCTTTGTTTTACTATGGTTGCAAATATCAAAAAATTTCTATATGTGACACGGCACCAGAGTTAAGTTAGGGTTTTTCAAAATGCTGACACGCCAAGCTCAAGGTTTGCCA